CCCCCCACCAACACATGCACACACTCAACTGCCCGCAATCCTAATAGGATAACAGTAAATACTAAGACATTTTTTTAATCATTCTACAAACATTGATTGTATAAAAATTAAGTTTCCATTTTGGTTTCCTTCTCTTTTTCCGTCTTATCTTTTAACATTCTTATTGTTTTAGGATGTAACAATACGATGTCTTCTTCTGACCAACCCTAACAATCCACTAGGAAACATTTACTCTGCACAACAGCTACAGAGCTACTTGGACTTTGCTCACAGGTACTACTTTTGATGTATATATCTAGAGCAGTTTTAATATGACTGTGAAAAGTTTGGTGTCATATGCAAGCCTTGCCGTGACTGTGATGTTTTATAGAATTTTGATTGGCTGATTTTTTTCTTGCTCAATGTGATTAGTCTGGCATTTAGGCAGTACCGTGGCCTTGACATGATGTGTCCGTCCCATGTCGTGCCATGTTTCAGGTATTTGATTGGATAGAGAGTAAATTCTCGCAATGTGATTGGTCAGGCGTATGTCGTACAGTGGCATGACTATGTTCGTGCTACGAGCTTATCACAGTCATATGAAAACTGCTCTATTACCACCAGGTGCTAATCTTTCATTGGCTGTTCTGTATTCTAGCCTCTTTTCTGCCCAGAAATGCCTTAACATGTGAGAATTAGAATTTTCGAGAAAATATATCAACTTTTATTCTGCTGCAAGAGAATATTCTCTTGTCTGCTGTAAACCTGCACTTTCAGCACATGCAATATTCATGTAGCCCTCTTCTTTCCTTGCTGGCGGTGCACTTGCTGACAAAGGTCGTTATGAACTTCTGAACTTCCCTCCGAAGTTCGGAACTTGGTTGGCTTATTTTGCAGCAAACAAAGTTGATTTTCAACCAGGAGCTTCTGGATTTCCTTGCCATACATGCTTGGCTGTGTTTGCTTACAGTATTTGATATACTGCGATTCCTATTTCCACCATGACTTGGTTCTTTCCCGGTYTTCACGTATTTCAAAAGTTCATAACGAACTTCGTTTCAAAGTTCTGAAGTTCGTCGCCAACTTGGCAATTTCCGAACATGTTCCGAACTCGATCGTGTAAAACAATGTGAAACCGACTGTAACTCATTGTTTTAATTTATAGCCAACATAAGATATTTTAATCTTAGTGATGTATTTGTCATTTTATCATGATATTATACACATTTGTTTCCTGGTTTTACTATGAATAAACGTTGTCGATCCGACATCTGAAATGGGGGATCTTAGACTAAACATCATTTTTGTGCTTTAATGTTTTCTAACTAAAATACTAAAATATTATTTCTAACTCAATGGTCACGCTCATATTCCAATCTAAAGGAAACTACGTTGTTTGACTGTATATATTACAATATATTAATATATTACAATTTGCAGCATGTCCAATCGACAACGTTTTTTAATAGAGTGACCACAGTAAATCCGTGAAACTTTAGTAATGCTAAATAGCACAATTTCATGCAAATTCCATTGTTTTCTATTGTTTAATTAGCACTATTTTGTACTATTTAGTAATTAGTGTTTCACGGATTAATTGTTTGCACTCTACAAATAGGTGTTTTAGTTAACACAAAATCTTCATCGATAAAATTAGAGAGTGGTCTSGGCGAAGACCAGACTTGCAATCGATGGTTTTCAACCATTCCCAAGAGAATTAAATAACAAAAGACACGGTGGCCATGTTGGAGGATATAACAAAAGAATTCATTAACAATTCTTTTGTTAAATTCCTCCAACATGGCCGCTGTGAAAACCATCAATAGAGATTGATTCATTATTACTGATTTGTATAGGAAATCGCACGATCTCGAGTACAATTTGATTCCAATTTGATTCCAAATTGTACGAGAAGATCGTGCGATTTTTTGTTTATAGTTCACCCAACAAAATTTCAATAAAAAATGCGAAGCGACGCCGTTCATCTTTGTCTATTCGGCGGCTTATTTTCAGTCCATGGCGCAACTGAAATGCATAAAAAAGATTAGTTCTTACGGCTTTAGAAACGATAGAAAATAATTGTTTTGACATTGTTTTGGCCGTGTTGCCATAGCGACTTGTTTCGGTACTCCTACGGAGTACAATTAACGCTATAATTGTACTTCTCTCGACTAATCAGAGTTGAGTAATTTTGTTGAGTGTACTATAAGCTCTTTTATTTGTATTCCTTCTAGGCATACTCTTCATGTGATACTAGATGAGATTTATACTTTATCTATATTCAAGGAGGGACATTCTATGAAAAGTATCTTAAGTTTTACCAAGTAAGTGTCAAAGATTATTGGTCATGACATCTAACCAACAAACTCACTAACCAGCCCCCCCTTTCCCCCCCCCTGAAACAGGGTTCCCAGGGGTCAGTGAAAAGTCAGGGAATTTTTTATTTAGTCAGGGAAATTGCGATTTTCACCTAAAGTCAGGGAAAAGTTAGGGAATTTTGTTTAAAGTCAACCATGAGTATCCGTGTGATACTCATACTGTTTGCAATTTTCGAATAGACTGATAAATCCTTTCCAAAAAATGAAAAAAATGTTGAAGTATTCAGTATCATTTATGCTGGACAGTTTAACTATGTTGGGTATCCTATGTAATAGGATAAGAGCGGGGCATAGGTAAAAGTTAGGCATGTGACCCATGCTTGCCCATGCGGCTCAACAAGGTCAGTGAAAACTGTTCTTTAGTCAGGGAAAAGTCAGGGATATCTTCAAAAAGGCTGGGAACCCTGTTAAAGTTATAGTTTTACTAAACCTGTGGATATGACGAAAAACTCTAAAGATGAAAAGTATATGCATGTGTAATGGCGGGAAAATGGTACATGCACGGCCCCACTATGACCTAGGCCTTGTTACGCTCCTGTAACTAACCAACCAACCGCCCAGCCATCCATTAACTTCTTAAATACTGACATTGATTTCCATACTCTTACTTCAGTATACCAGACAGACAACGTCTTCACGTGGTATGGGGGTTCAGTAAGGTAAGCACCATGCTGACCACAGTTTTTCTTTCGCAACTCTTTATGTATCGGCTTGATCTGCTACACAGCCCACGGGAGGCTTGCGATAAGCGTTACATATTTGAGTAAAGGGCGGTAAATCCTGGTTCTCACCAGCGACGCTAGTATCACCACAAGTACAAGCCAATGAAAAAAATATATTTTGTTATCTTGCGCTTGCGTCGCTTCTTTTCAAAGTAAGAACATGGAGTTGCGTCTGCTTACGTCGCTAGTGGGAACCAGGCTTCAGGTTATTGTGTATGGGAGAAAGACACTCAATGTTAGGAAGATCGCGTTGTCTTCAGGGAAGTCTTTCTCAACAGCACCTGTAAGTAAGCTACAAGTGGTTTGCTAATGAGAAAATGGATAAAAATTACTTGAATCAGTGTTCACCACATCGACGTGTTCCTACGTCTGTTAACAGTTACTTAGAGCAGATTTCATTTGTAACATTACGTCACGCTGCGGAATTGACGACATCCTTTGAATACGTGCAGTCACAGTGAATGCGTGACATTTTTGCTCTACCAATCAAAATGCTCCTACACTGCGCCATCACGGTCAGGGTACAGCAAGTCTGTACAGTGACGTTTTCATATTAATAAGGAGTGTGCTTGCTATAGAGCGGCTTTCGTTTGACTGTGAAAAGCTCGCGACACGAACGCTGTCGTGACATGGCAAGGCATGCGCCAGACCAGTTACGTATACATTGCATGAGAATTTACTCTCCATCAAATCAAATACCTGGAACATGGCATGAACACGGCGCGGACACTGTCACGCCAAGGTACTGGCACTGCCAGTCCAATCACATTAAGCTAGAAAATAATCAGCCACTCAAAATTCTAGAAAACATCACGGTCACGGTAAGGCACGCATACGGCACCGAGAGTTTTACATTCATATGAAGTAAATGACACATACGGATGGAGTTTCATGCGTGACGATTCATTATTTCTGATATTATTGTGTACAGGATTTTGGCATATCTGGTTTTCGTTGTGGCGTGCTCCACACATGGAATAAGCAAATACTTGATGCTCTCAAATGGGTGGCTTATTTCCAGTCCGTTCCCACCTCGACCCAGGTAAACTCGCCCTATCATTACCACAGCTATTCCAATCTTGAGTTTATCGCTGTTTTGTAAGCGTTATAGACCCCTTGCGCTGAGTCCCGAGAGGCTTTGTTCTAGGGGACGAAATAATGGATTTTTTTTCCTGCATAAGAAAAGACGGCCTATTGTTTTGTCCCCCAGACATTTCCTTTAGGAAATCAAACTAAGGGGTCTATTGCCACATTTCTGACGTAAGCAAGAATTAAGTAATCAACGCGCGCGTATGTCGGTTAAATGTGATATGAATATGTACGCTGGCAGCTGTAGAGGTAGAAGCATTTTGTATAATGCTGCTTATGAAATATTTGATAAAAAACGCGCGCGCTGATTGGCTGGTAGCCTGCGTGGCGGCGCTTTGGCGAGGGGGGGGGGGGGGGGGGGGGGGGGGGGGGGGGGGGGGGCCGCTACGCAGACTGGATAGAATATTTAAGACATAATGTGCGCGCTGATTGGCCATGTTTAAATCAAAGCACAATTTCTTTTAATAAAAGCAATATAAAACGGCTGCTTATGTAATTGTGCTGTGATATAAACACGCTGGGAGCTGTAGAGCACTCGAAAATTGCCTCGTGTTCCTATGCTTGCCTCTCTTGTGAAGAGAATAATTCAGTTCGGATACCGATTCACAGTAACGTTTTAACGAATTGGTTGATCTTGCAAAGGAAACAACTTGCGGATTTATCTTTTTTCTTTTTGGTCCGGATTTTGGTTTTTAATTTGTGGATACGGGAAGCGTAGAAACGAGTTATTATGAGGGGTCTAGCTTGAATCTGCAAATGTGCATTGAGTGTGAGCACTGAGCATCTATCTTTTCAATAAATAGGCTAATTTTTTTTTCATGTATTCCGCATTGATAAATTATCTAGATATTGGTCTCATAAGACAAAAATATATTTGAAGAAAACGGCAAGCAAAATGGAGCACCATCCTTGTCTAACTAAAACACTTATGAAATTCTACACCGTGAAAAGATGAAAAAACTTACTGACGTTTTGGACGCTCACACTAGTTTTTAGCTAGTTATCTCTTCTTTCACTTATGAATTATTGAAGAAGAAGAAAAACGGAAATGCACGCATGACTACGTCATGTAGTTTGTAAAGGGAATCGCCCGATTTCTAGGAAACACATCGTTCAATAAGCGGAAGGTCAAGCAAATTATAAATTAGCTGCTAAATAAATTTTGAAACTGTACATCTTTACTTTTCTGTTGGTATTTGTGAATATTTAGACACTGATACGAGGCTAACCCTGTGCAAATGAGTCTGTAATCGACACGGCTTAAAAACGCGTGATTGGTTAATCCAATATATTAAGTGAGGATGCGCAGTGTGGTTTTCCGCTGAATTTAGCGCGGGCGGTCAGTTCAAAATGGCGGA